AGAATTTGGTTAACAAGGGAAATGTACTTTGTGCGGCAGTGAGATTAACATTGGATCCTTTATTGAATCCTACGAACGTTGAGCACGAAGAAGCACAAAGAATGAATCATTCACCGATTGAACGATTTATATCGAATTGACATATATTTATTCACGCTGATAATTATAACAACAAAAAAAAGTTATATTTGACAATTGTAATAGTAAATGTCATTAATGACTATATAGCCGTGAACAGTATATCAGTCTAAAAATAGTGTATTGTCATTGTGGTCTCTCCATGTTCGAGGATTGTGCGTACGTCGTCTATATGCGTTTATATCATTTACGATTCTACGTATTCCATTAAAATTTCTGTTAGCTAATCTAATCCATCTGTAATTTTTTGCGTTGTACTCATCGTCAACGATTTTTTGCACTTCCTCTAGATAGCGTTTAATTTCGCCTTACGATAATGAGATAACTACAACATATTAAAGTATCGTTATAAGCGCTTAATAAAACTCTATTGTTATCGTCTCATTTATAGACGGATGGGTGGGCAAAAATACAATATATCTGATTGTATATAAATAAATAAAGTCAATTCAATCGAAACAAATATCACAAGCCAGACGTTCTAAATAAAGAAATGCAAATTTGCTCTAGTCCCATAAAGGGAATCTGTGTGCGGCACAGGTAAGCGAAAATTTTTTTTTCGTTTTCAGCCAGTAAAAAAATTTGCAGTTGTCATGTGCTGCAAGTTTTTTGTTGGTGCGTTTGGGGTAGTTCTATGGCACAGAATCTTCTTACCCCATAAAAAGTAATGAATTGTCAATGCAACAGATCATCACTCTCAAAAATGATCACATCCAATAATAACTGTTAATATTAATAGAGATTTATTGACTCTTCAACCATATGTTGAATCACATTCGCAGACATGTTTTCCTCCCCTTATTATTATATCTGCCATCATATTATGGGCTTTTTCAATGCTTTCATTAGATTTTTACATACAAGTTTCCAGTATCAAAGTCTTTATGCATATATGACATATACTTCTCTAGTTCATATATTAATATTAATATTGATATACCTTTTCCAAATTCCTCAGTGCGAATTGGTACCATTTTCTCTAATTCTAGGTCATTTCTTTGTATTTCACTGTTGGCAACTCTGACATGCACTGCAGAACTCAGTTCATTATCAGTGCTTGTAGTTTGGTATTTTCAAGAGGTTTCAAGATCAAAAAAGGATATTTATATTCATAGTTGCATTTGAATATTTCATATATTATATGGGTAGCTGTGCTGCCTACTACTTTAATACCACTGTAACTAAATGTTTGCATACATATAAGGAATTGATTCTGCAGAAACAAAGGAAAACTGCATATTAATATCTATCTGTTGGTGTGGTGTCAATATATAGTAATAGTAATATTGCTCAGGTAAATGTCATTACTACCTTTGACTGCGTTTTTTTTTGAAATCTTCCTACCAGGAGGATGTATTCTACCAGTAGTATCTAGCTGAGGGTACTCGTGGGTCACACCGATTGTTGTAGAGATCGGTACCGGACCTGCATAACTATAAGCAATATTAGTATAAGCCTACAATGCAACAACCAAATATTAATAAAAAAAAAGAACAAACCTTAATATAGCACTATTCTGACTTGATCCAATAGTTCCCCGTAGGTGCTGTGCGCACACGCCGAGACTTGTTTTTGACGATGCCACAGATGGCTTTCGTCGTCTCTAACTTCAACAACCAGGAATAACAAACCAGTTGTGCACTTGCATGTCATTTTGAGGTGTGTGCGCATGCGTGCGTGATGTGTAAGTTGTGAGTTGTGAGTTGTGCATGAGTTGTGAGTTGTGAGTTGTGCGTGAGTTGTGTGTTTACAGGTGTATGTGTATTTACAGTGGTGTGGTGTATATGTATTTACAGTGGTGTGGTGTATGTGTATGTACAGTGGTGTGGTGTATGTGTACACAGTAGCTCTCTTTATAGTGTATCAAAAAAATCTATTAGTAAAAAATTCTCAAAAATCCACTATATCGAGAGT